TGAGTCACTTGAGCACTTTTACTCTCTATTAACTGCGAAGTTTCTTCAAAACCCCTCTCTACCTCCTTGACTGGATTATTGTTTATCACTTTATCAGACTAAGCAATAATTGATCTCAGATCTGCATTCCGTAACCATTCTGAGATTCGATAATACGGTGTTGGTAAGTCTGTCAATTTTTGTAAATAATTTCAGTGCTCTATCCTTTTTAAATTTTTTGATCGGATCAATCTTGAGGTCCCTGAGGATGTCATTCGTCCTAATGTAACATGGTACCTTGAAAAGTCTTCTCATAGCCTGGCTTTGCGCAATTTCTAGCTGGTGAATAGTAGTATTTGAGGCTTTATAAGACGCTAAACATCTATATAGAAGTAAGGGACGAATTATTTGGTTATATATCAGCTTCCTGTTCTTAGCATAGAGAGGTTTTTTTTTTTTGAATAGGTGATGAAGTTGGAGGTGATGAAGAATTTTAGCACAACTAATTCTTTTCAGTTGAACGTGTCTGAGTTATGTGAATCGTTTGTCCAATGTTTATTACGATATCTCCCACTCTCACTCTCGACGGGTTCTCTCTGCACTTACGCGTATGATATATATATTTATATATCTTATTAATATATTAATTTTATTTGTATAAAATATATTTAGCTTATTTAATATATTATTTAAATATATTTTATTAATATATAAATTTTACTCGTATATAAAATTTATTAATCTGAATTATATTTAATTATATTAATTAATTATTATTATTATGATTATCTTCATAATTAATCCTAAAGCAATATAAATGTCATTAAATTGATTAACAACACAATAATTTGTATTCTTTTAAGATTATAGCAATTACACTATTTATGCACTTTTATAAAATTTAACTATGAATAAATTTCAGTTGTCGACTAAATAAAATTATTTCATATCAAAAACCTCATTCATGGCCACAGCGGTTCTGCATCTATGCGGAGAGTCGCTCTGGCAATAAACAACTAAAAATGTAAACAAAAACACAAAAAAATAATTTTGATTAAGTTTTCTTCAAATCTAATGCCCTTCACACACTTTGTCATGTAAATATTAAGTTATTTATTATATTATATCAAAATCATTTACTTTGGAAGAGATTTGAATCACATCAATAACCTAGCGAATTAGTACTGAAGTATAAATAACATTTTCAAAAAATTTAAATTAATTTACTACATATAAATCTTAATGTAGAGACTTATATAGATATTATATATATTAAAATATTAAATACAATGTTATTAATAATAGTCACAATATGGAATTTTAATTCCATTTAAATTCACAATTTAAACATATTAAAATGAAACAGTTTTTTTTTTTGGTTAAATTAATTTTTATTATAATTTGAGTTTTGTTTAATTTTTGACAATTTATTATTAATTTTTTTAAAATCATTATTATTAATAAAATATAACAATTCATTAATGTTTATTTTTTTTTACCGACAGTGACGCGTCTTATAACGAGAAAAAACTATTTTAAAGTTCGAATAGAAATGAAAAGACAATAACAAAAATTGCGAAGTACTCATCATCAGTGGTCTTAGAAAATATTCGAATTTTCCTATTCCTAAGAGTATTTGGCAATACTCGAAACAGATTTGTTTAGTTAAAATTTCAATAAATTTACTAAAATTCTTGCTGTTGTTGTCTTTTTATTCCTATTCGAACTGATCATCAGTAGTCTTAGGAATTAGAAAATTCGAATATTTCCTAAGACCATTGTATGGTCAGACTTCACTAAATTAACTAAAATTTTCGTAGTTGTCGTTTCACATCTATTCGAACCTTTCCATAAACTATTGTTTTTTAATGGAGAGGTATTTTGAGCAATAATGAATTACAATAACAAAAATTATTAAAATTTCGTGATATCGTTCTATTATAACTCAACAAGTGCATTTATTAATAAATCATTCACAGTAAATTAACAAAACTTCAAGTAAGAATATGCAAGTCAAGTGCATCTTAAGATCAGTTGGATAATTCACACTGTTTCTGAGCTTTAAAATTGGCAGGGCACCAGTTCAACTCTTGATACTGACAGTCTCAAAAAATTAATTACAAATAATTTAATACAAGAAATATTTCCAAGGGACCACTGATGATGAATACTTAGCAATATACGACACAGCTGTATGGTCAGTCAAAATTTCAATTAATTAATAAATAACAAACAAAATTTTTTGTTATTGTAATTGCTTACTGTTCAAAATACCTACCTATATGTATATATAATTATTTAAGAAGCAGTTTTCTTTGATATATTCTACGGAAACCGTTGTGCGAAATCAAAACCACAAAATGGATAGCCAAATTTTACTTATAATGTAGAATACAGTTTTTAAATATTTTACATAAAAGCTACAAGCAATAAGGAAAACAAGCTAATAATTAACAGGATATGTTTCTTCCTAAAATCAATACCTGTGTTATCACAACAAAAGTACGTATACCTGCTTTTGCCTAAATAGTCTTTTATAAGATTGCCTTAAGGACCATCCAAGGATAGCGTTTGCATCACTTGACAATTACATAAACAACAAAGTAAGCCAAATATCCTAAGTTAAAGGAAAAATAAAATAACAAAAAGATGCTATGATAGCATTGTCCATTTTGATGCTCAACGCAGAATAAAGGAACAGTTGCAGGCTACAATATCTCACTGCAGTTGAATTTAGAAAAATATTATCCAGCGACTGTAGCACAAGGATGCGCAGCAATATTGAAATCTATTTGCATAATAACTAAATTTTTGACATTTCTAGATATTGTAACGAGTAACTGTTGTTTAACCAAGTTTTGGATTTTAGACGCCACGGACATTGTGCATGATATACATGTATTCATTTTTTAAGATACATACGTAAGATGTCGTTAAAAATATTTCATCCATTTGATTGAAAGCGTCTTCAAACATGCTACATTTATGGAACGTTCGATCTTTCGGTACAACTTCCATAGTTGAAAATATCTTCGACGACGGCTTGATCCATCTCCAAGTGGGTGGTTGGAGTTATATGGTCATAGAACTCTTTTTTGTTCATTGTTCTTGAGAAAGTATATTTTCATAGGCTCGAGATGATTTCGATGATGGATTTGATACATTTACAATTGGGAAAGTGAAATCACATTGTCACAAAATTTTCTTCTATTCATGGTATTTGCAAAGGTTTTTGTTTTAAATAAACAGAGACTTTTCTTTTTGCAGTTATGTTTAAAAAATTTGACGGTGTTATAAAGTACATGATCCGTTTTTCACAACAAATAGTTATTTATATTCGTTGTGAGAGCAGCTTTCAAAAATTTTATAAAGTATAGTACCTAGCCTGCAATAGTGATGAAAGGTGAAAAAGTTTTTGGCCAAAGGTGATTCCAGTGAGCATTAAAGAGGAGAGTCAGTGATAACACTAGAACTATCAGCACGACTTCCTGGGTAACAATATTGTGTAACGAGTTAGTCCATAATTGTTCAGTTTTCTTTGAAATCATATTTTTGATATATCTGTTTTTATTTCTACAGTTTTCTGTAAATAGTACCTATTAGTCCATGAAAGTTTCTTTTTGGTTTGATTTAGTAAATCTCTTAGGTTTGCGAGAAATTTGATATCGTAAAAATTTGCAGTATTCGTTCTAACTCTTCCGTGTGATTTTATATAATATTATAGTAATATAGTAGTATTGAAGAACAAGACGTACTGGTAATTATAAATATGCCATCCGGAAAGATTGTGAGCGGAAAGGAGCACAAAAACAGTAAAATAAATCTCTTTCTTAGTTCGATTTCGTAAATTAGTTTAAAAATAATATATGCATATACTTATAACCATATATGCCATACATGCTTAATAACCGCAACCTAATCTAGATCAGCGCTTTATGTAAGAAGCATATAATCAGTAAAATTTCTTCTTTCTTAGTTCGATTTTCATAAATTAGTTTGAAAATAATATATGAAAATAATATATACATGCATAATAGCAGCAATTTAATCTAGATCAGCGCTTAGTAATTAAGATTAACGTATGTTGTGTGAATACTTGTTAATGTAGTCTGCTTTACAGGACAATTAACAAATATGTATAAATCTCATACATACAGTAATTTCTCGGTGTGATTGATATGGATTTTATTATTTGCATTGAATTTTATATAAAACATTCGTTGTTTAAGTATGTTTCCCACAAGTAACATATTTGATCGTTTATTGTTTGATGTAAACCGAGTGTTTACCGTATTATATTTTACTTGTATTTTATTATGTGTGATAAAATTGATTTAATTTCTAATTTTTTTAACTTTTGGCACAAAATTTATTTTCATAGAAGAAATAATTCTGTTTTAAACCACCTTTGAAAAACAATAGATACTTCAGAATTAAAAGAGTAAATAAACGCAATCATCTGAGCGTGATTGCACAAAAACCAGAATTAGTTACGTTCCGGCAACAACAGTGTAAAGTCGGATGAAGATAAGCGTAAAAAATTTTTGCAAACGCCGATAAGTGTCAATTTTGTTGAAGCGACATAAGCGCTTAGCAACTTGTTGCTGCAACAAACTACACTCATTGATTGTAATACAAACCTATGAACAAAGTGCTTATTATAATAATTTGCAATAAAAAAAATTTTTTTATTTAAAAATTTGTTTGCTTCGTTTACTAGGAAACAAACAATAGCAAAAAGTGAAATAACAAAAAGGCAAAAATTAACGCTTTCAATTTCAATTTGTTTCAATAAAAAACTCGGCCTGGCATATTCGCTGAAATTGACCCCTGAAACTATCAGTTCTGTAATGAAATCAAAGCGATAATAACGTGAACGACATATTTGCGGTGTTAACAGTTAATTTAATCATTAAAATAAAGATTTGCTTCATTCATATAATTATCAGTGTCATTAGGGAAATATACAGACAAATTGTTTTAATTATTGTTTATGTTTTTTGTGATTTTATTTCGCATTAATTGACGTATGCAGTTCTTCTGATAGTTTTACGTATAATCACAGAAAGACACATATTTATGTATACATACATATGTACATCCCAAGGAGGTTATCAGTGAAAATTGTGCTAATCCATCGTACTGAGTTATATTTCAAATGAAAAACATATACATATTTCGACGACTGAGCAACACTCACAAACACACGTGAATCGTTCTATGCTTCATTGTAAACATTTTGTTCGTTTTACGAAAAGTGTGATTTACCCTATTGAACAGTTCGACTAATATTTTCTGATTGTGTATCGAATTTTCGAAATCAATTTTGCGATCAGTACACATTAAGCGAACGCCCAGTGAAGATGTGGTCGCGCGTACTTCTACATAATGAACAGTTTTTACGATTTGTTGCAGTCTTGTGTTGTGTACTGTGTTTTTGCACGCAAAGAACATATGCGGTGAAAAATGCTTCCGCTACATTTTCGATCAGTTTTAATGGTATAGATCTGTTCAATATACCTGCCTTTGGACGTAGTTTATTTGGTGTTACCGAAAGTCCAAATGATGTTAATTTGAGTCCAAGTTTTTCATATGAGATTTCTAGTGCGGAACCGGATCCTAATATTATGGAGGACGCTCGTCTGAAAACGGTATGATTTTTATAAAAAATTACTTATTGTTACATTATTTTATTAAATTATGTTGGGTGATTACATATATAAATAAATATAATTATTATATTATTAATTATAATATTATATTAAATTTCGAAATTTTAATCTTATATTATTTTATTAAATTAAGTAGGGTGTTTACATTTATTAATAAATATAATTATTATATTATTAATTATATTAATATATTAAATTTCGAAATTTTAATCTTATATTATTTTATTAAATTATGTAGAGTGATAACATATATAAATAAATATAATTATTATATTATTATATTAAATTTCGAAATATAAATCTTATATTATTTTATTAAATTATGTAGGGTGTTTACATTTATTAATAAATATAATTATTATATTGTTAATTATATTATTATATTAAATTTCGAAATTTTAATCTTATATTATTTTAATAAATTATGTAGGATGATTACATTTATTAATAAATATAATTATTACATTATTATTTGCATTATTATATTAAGTTTCGAAATTTTAATCTAACTTGACTTTAACTCTATTAAAAAATATTATTTTTTTTAAAAAAAATTGCGAAAGGTGTCTTTTAGTGAACTCATCGGTTTTTAATGATCGGTTCTAATATTTTTAATTTACTTATATAATAAGTTCAACTTGACCTAATTTTTTCTACTTCTTATTTCCCTTATTTTTAATGTTTAATTTAATTTGTTTATTTAGTTCTTTTTGTTGATTTATTAACAATCAAATATTTAATAATATAATTTATTTATTACTTTATATATCAGAACTTATGGTATCTTCAGTGGAAAATTATAGTACCGTCTGCTTTTGTGAGTTTGTGAGGAAACCCACTGTCGTCTGCTATTGCATTTACAGACGAAATATATTTCTTCAAGAAATGTTTGTAAGATAATAAGGTATTGATTTATGAAAAATCATAAACAACAAAAACAAATATAGAAATATTTTGAAATACATTAGAATTTAAGGAATTGAATTAAACACTTAAGAAATTAAAATTTAACACTGGGTATCTTGCTAAATACTGCAAATGAACGCCTAATACTGGATTTACACTAGAGTTTTATTTGTAATTTTAGTTGTCAATTGTTGTTGCTTTCAATGTAAAATGAAAATTTTTGACAGCTTAAATAATAAACAAAACTCTAGTGTGAATCCAATATAACCATATGGACATTCTTGTTTTCTTGTAACAAAAAACCCAACTTCTGTTTTTATGTCAATTACTTCAAAAATGTTTTGTTTAAACAATTGTAATATTAGTAATAAAAATTAAATTTTTAATAACTTAATATTAATTAGATTAAGTGTTCTGAGCAATTTCTTTCAGTATGTTTTCTGTTGATATAGATTTGCTGTCGAAATAACAAGATAACAAGAAACTCTTTATTGATTACACAATATAAAATTTTACAGATGTAAAATTACTATGTAATAGTTTAACATATATACATTTGCAAATAAATTTATAAATATTTATATAAAAAACTAGCCCGATATCTTATGAATCATATTATATTGACTTATAGAACGGTGAAAAATGTTGTTCGAAATGACGAACTTTATAAAATGCATTAGTCAAATTACGACGCCAACAGAAATTTTAAAAATTCAATATCATTAATTTTTAATGCATTTAAATTTAAACTTAATTTAGCACACAACAATATAAAATATTTACTTCATCATCATATAACAAACTGCGATTTCATGAATTATTCAGAAACATCGGAAATTAGTAATGCTAGGTATAGTGCATTAAAAATCCAACTTATAAATTTAGAGTTATAGTAGACCTAGGGTTTCTATACTATAAGTACCCTGAAGGTAATATAATTGCATTATACTGCATATCTAGATGTTTTGTATCTTGTTATCTTTATCTTTTAGTCAGATATTGAATATTATATCACCTATTTTTAAACCGACTTGTGCAAATAATTTTACTTTTATTTAAGTTGGAATAAGCTGAAATACAAATATATAATATATATATATTTAATATATAGTAAATATATTTATATTTACATATATATAAAACCTTTCTATGATGTTTTTAAATTTAATTAAACTCTACTTAACTTATTATTTTAATTATATGATATAAATTAATATTTTTTTTTGTTAGGCAATATATTATTAGGCAATATATTGACTCTATGTAGAATATGTAAAACTCAATATACTTAAAATATACTTATACTTCTATACTTGTACTATATACTTATACCTTTTTTTGGTTTGATAATAATATATAGAGCAATGTGTTTAATTAATTAGTGTGTTTAATTAGATCTTTTATCATTATAAGTTCTAATATATATTTACATATTAAATTATCTCATCATATCATTTGATTCATCTATAGATCTTTACAGGTTAAGGTACTTAAACTATAGCACAATTATCCCAAAAATAATATATTGTGTATAGTACCACTATAATAGTACTATAAGTTATTATCTTGTACGTTAGGTTTCTTGACTCTATATATTCACATAATTTTTGATTTGATTTCATTTATAAATAAATAGAGAGGCGTCAAACAGTACTGAATTGCAACACCAAAAATTTTTATTTATTTTTAATTAATTGAATTTTTAGCTGCCTATATATACAGCTGTTTTGAGTATTGCCAAATATCCATCAGCAGTGTTTTTAGAATGGTTTCTTATATTTAAATATTAATTATAAATTAATAGATAATCCTAGACTATTTTATGGAGGCAGCATATTTATAATTTTCAATAGAACTTATATATTGCTCTAATATTTTCTAAATAAATAAATTCTTTTGTACTTTCATTGTTTTTTGTTTTTTTTATTTTGTATTATTATATTATATATTATTATTAAATAAGTATATAATATTCACCTTCAAAGTTTTTTTGACTTCTTCTTCAGTGTGGAATGATATAACACCGTATCATCCATCATAAGCTTCTTTTTTATAAATTATTTTGTTACGAAAGATTTATGTGGAAATACTAATATCTTAATGTGTTATTTTTATTAGATAGTAAAATATAATTTATTGATTTATATGCTATTAGTTAATACTAAAAATGTAAAAAGATTTTAAATAATTTATTACCATTCTCTTTCAGCCAAAACTCATAAAGAAATATGGTTATCCAGTTGAAGTGCATCATGTGGTCACCGATGATGGTTACATACTAGAATTGCATCGCATAGTAAGAGAAGGTGCTACTCCAGTTCTATTAACACATGGCTTATTGGATTCTTCAGCTACTTGGGTTATGATGGGTCCCAACAAAGGTTTAGGTTGGTTTTCAAGAATCTCATTTTAATATAATTCTCAAGTCATATTTAAAAAAAATTTAATAGAAACTCTTAGAATTTTTTTTTTCCTCCTGCTCTTTAATTCTCCTAAGATACAGTAGCATTGTAAAAACACATATATATATTTTTATTTCCTATTATTTATATTATATGTTGGTTTAATAATATTCATTTATTTAGTTAATGTTTTGGGTACATATTTTATGCTTAAATACTTGAACATTTTTTATTTTTAGTTATATACCTATTTTTCTGTTTACTCTAATATCCTATTCACACGTCTTGTGTAAGTATTTATTAAGCGCTGATTCGGATTAATCAGCGCTTAGTTGTTTTGCTAGTTGTTTTCAAATTAGATTTTTGCTATTCTAAAGACAAAATTGCAGAGTGTAAAGGATCTTCTGCTATAGAAATCTATATGTTTGGACTTTTTTGATACAATTTCTCCATGTTTTGATAATTCTCTTTGCATTCTGCAAATCTGTTGTAGAATGCAGTATTGCATTTTAAACTGGGCATAAACATAACTTCGGCACTAATCTATTTTTGGGTCGTCTCGATTTGATCATAGCAACTATTTCTGCGTTATCTATTTTGAGCAATTTTTTCCACTATACATTATACTATTATAGATTACTTTAAAGTTGATCATTTTTATGTGATAACTCTCAATGAACGACTTCAGATGGTTTAAAAAACTAGTTGTTATTGAAGTCGGTTTTGTTTTTTTAGAAATCTTAGCTTTTATTTCGATCGTTATTTTTAGTATTCATACTTCTATACATATTTCGGCAAATTCGCTTTTGCCTTCATCAGGAGAGTTCCTAAAATTGTTACTAGTAGTGTGTATACCTTTTGTAGAGATATCAATATAACTACTGAATTCGCAAAGTAGCCGTGTGAGTAAGATTTGCTGAAACACTATATTGTTGGTCAGTTTCCGATATTCTCATTAAAAATGTGACATCAATCTTTACTATAGTATATATGTATATATATATATATTTTGAACAACAATTTCATAGTCTCCATTTTTCTTGTTTTTTTGTCAAAGTATAGAATTTTTTCTAATGTTTCTATAGAATGAAGAGGTTGGGTCTCTCCAACTCTTAAACACACTTAAAAATAAGTGTGGGAAAGAAATTATTTTTTTAATATATTGAAAGTTAACTGACTTTGATTTACTTTTCTAACAAAAAGCAACATTTGTATAGAATATGTTCTAGAAATGCTTCAACAGATCTATTTATTTTTTATTTTTAAAAATTTTGCTGAATTTAGATAAATTTTTTTGGGAAACACACCTTCTATTATATGTTATATACATTATTATTATATTATATATATACTATCTATATTATATTAGATTGCTATTAAATATATTTGATTGCTATATATAAATATATTTAATTTTTACAATTTCTGCAATGAATATAGATTCGTAACAAAAAATTTCCATTAAAATCTGTCAGATGTCAATCGTTCAAGTCATTGATTTTATTCAAGCGTTTTTTATAATGCCGCAGTTCCGCTTTAATTTGCCTAATCGATATGTGGGCCGGGTCTTCTCTATCTTAGGAGTTTTTCAAGTCAACTTTTTTTCTGCAATTTGTGTTTAAGTTTCAAGAATTTCGTTTAGAAGCAATATCAAATAAATATGACGTCTGTCTGTCCGAAAAAAATTCACACACTAGTGTGAATATAACATATTATACGAGTATAATTATAAATATCAGTTTTGTATTGAAATACAATGAACACATTATAATTATAATTATTTTAACATAATTACTAAAATTATTAAAACATTATCTAATTATGATTATCTACACAGTAGATAAAGATTTTACTTATGTATTATGCAAAGAAACTTATTTTGAGTGGGCACCTATCCTAATTAACTTCTCATTGGTCAAGGGTGGTCTTATTGCTCAGACAAAATGTCTATCCATATTCCATAAAGTGATGATTAGATCTTCGATGAGGGTACCCGTTAGTATAGTATTTACTGTAAATATTACTAAGTACAAGGTTTAATTAATTTCTATTCTTTCTCAATTTCATGTAATGCATAGTAATTTAAAAAAATTGCTCATGTTAGTGCTATTAAATAGGAAAAATTTGTTAAAGTTTTTTGCTTAAAAGACCTCAAACTTGAAACTGATGATAACCTTCAGAGATGACCTAAAGAGAAACGTAACGAATAGATTAATTCTGCTGACGCATAAAATTCAAAATTGATAAGTCACGAAACTGATTAATATATTTTCTAGTTTTTGTGCCGTTCAAAATAAACAAAAAACGTTTTCTTATTAACAGAAATAATCATTATAATTATATTTTTATTGTAGCCTATATGCTCTATGATTCGAACTACGACGTTTGGATGACGAACGTGCGTGGTAATTCTTATTCTCGTAATCACACTAAGTATAGTACGGATCATGCCAAATTTTGGGATTTCAGTTTTCATGAAATGGGCAAATATGATTTACCAGCATCAATTGATCACATACTCCGCACTACCGATTTTGAACGTATACATTACATAGGGCACTCACAGGGAACCACAATATTTTGGGTAATGTGCAGTGAACGCCCAGAGTACAGTGAAAAAATTTTGCTAATGCAAGGTTTGGCACCCGTAGCCTTTGTGAAGCACAGCAAAAGTCCAGTTGTCAATTTTTTGGCATTCTTTCAGGAACCATTGAGTGTGAGTAGCAATATTAATAACACCAATATTTTTGTATGTATATCAATATTTTTTAATATTTTTGCAGTTGTTATTGAGACTGATTGGAGCCCATGAATTTTTACCTAGTAATGATTTCCTCACAATGTTCAGTCAAATTATTTGCGATGATGACACCATAACTAAGGAAATATGTTCCAATGTCATATTTTTAATAACTGGTTTTGATAAAGAACAAATGAATGAGGTAAGTCTCTTTTGGCAAGTACGTTTCATAATGGCTTCAAATAGTTAAGATCCAAAATTTTTGTATGCTTTTAGACTATGTTGCCTGTGATTTTGGGTCATGCCCCCGCTGGTGCTGCTACAAAGCAAATGCAACATTTCGGCCAATTGAAACGTGAGAACTACTTCCGTCAGTATGATTATGGCTGGATAAGAAATTATTGGCGCTATGATTCTATAACTCCACCAGATTACAAATTAATGAATGTACGGAATAAAGTTGCTCTGCACTATTCCGAAAATGATTGGTTAGCGCCACCTGAAGACGTAGACCATCTTTCACGTTTACTACCGAATTTAGTTGGCAAGTTTTTAGTCGATTATCCGGCTTTTAATCATTTGGATTTCGTTTGGGGTATCGATGCGAGAGAATTGTTATTCAATCGAATCGTACAACTAATGCGAAGAGTTGAGGAGGAAATTTTGTAATTTGGAATTACGAAAGGCTATAACTATATAAAGTGTTTGGTATTATTTGGTACAATTCTTTTATGTTGTATTAGTTTATTTGTATGTATACTACATATATTTCTATTTATGTATATATTTATTTCATAATTATTATTTAAGCTAATTGTATTTTTAACTATAAAAAATATATTTAAAACTTTTTATACCTCCTAAAGCAAAAAATTTTTTGAAATTTATATTATAAAAATAATTGTTATCATAAAATATTGTACAAATTAAAAATATAATTAAAATTAAAGTAATAATAATTAATTATATATAAGTTACATAAAAAAATTTGATGTACATATCGATTTTAATGAATAACTGGCAAATGTTGGCTTTTCAAATAAATAACATTAAAAAACACTAGTAAATATAGTTTTAACATTAATTTTAACAAGTTTAAAACTATAGAAATGAATTTTTGGGACGCCTGTTCTATTGACATATAGGAACAGTTGCTCATAACAGCGAACTTTACAAAAGTCAGTTTAATTGAGCAACTCACATATACTAAATTATAAACTCTATGATCTATTGTGATGACACTACTTAATAATGGAGCTTAGGTTATATCGGCAGTCCCTAGGAGATCCACTTCGACCTACTGTTCGATTGTGTTAACGTATATAGAGAAAACTCAGACTTGAAAATTACCTTAAACCTTTGGTGAAGCTAGACTGCTGTTAAGTGGGTCTTGTAATTGATCAAGCTCTTCAGGAAAGGAGGCTCCTAAAGTGTTGAGTATACCGGACCGTAATTGTTAGTTATTTATGGAATCATATCGAAGCCCTTTTGAAATGCAAAGGGTTTTTTATCTTAGTGTACGCTTTTCCATGTGAGGGCTAAAGACATCATTGCCTAATAACATAAGTTCACTCTACTTATAGCTAAAGTAAAGTGACTGCAGAAGAGCTATTCCACTTTTTTCGTCTTTAACAAATTCCACAATATTTATGAGAGTGAAGATTTACTTAATAGCTAATGATCAGTTATACAAGCCACGACCGTCTCTGCGTAGGCGAATTGAAGTTCCACAATTTTTTTCAATCAAGTTCTGACCATTTCGAACTAAACGTTGCTTAGCAGGAATGAATATTTCTTCCAAAAAACACAGTTCTTCAATACAATTTAACGACTGACGATAGGTATATTGATATTCTTTCTGTTCACGTTTTGTTGGAAATTATCACCCCAACCTGAAATTTTCGTCAATATTGTTATGGCACGAGATCTATTCTTGCTGTAGCCTTGCAATGGAGTTGATATCACTTGGAATTGACGGGCTGTACTGAACCCATCTTTGACCTTAATACTGCTATTTAGTTGATTTTGTGTTACTAACTATCAGAATATATTAATATTCTTACTTTGGTAATAGTGTGTCAGTTTATTTAGACAGTTATTTGTCGGATTGTTAGTATTCTAGTCTGATAAACATGCGTGTTATATTAATCATTGCTCACATGAATTATAAACAAATCAAAAAGCTCATTTTAAAGATGTCCAAATTAATTATTCCATATATATACATATATTTATTTGTATATTAAAATTTCGGTTAACACTAAGATTCTTTAGGGAGTCTTCGTGTTCATATTAATAGCACACGCATATTGTTTCTGACAAATTATTCGAGTATTGTCAAATACGCATCATCAGTGGTCTTGAAAATAATTCATATATTTAATTATTCATAAATAATTTTTTGAGTCAGCAAGTACGAAGGGGTGAGCTCGTGCCCTGCCAAATTTGAAGCTCAGAGTCAGCGCATCTTAAACAACTGATCCAAAGCCATACTTAACTTTTACGTTCGCAAATTTTTCTGGAGTTTTGTTAATTTGCTGTGAAAGTTAATTAACGAATTCACTTAGTGTGTCATATAAGAACGAAATCATAAAGCAGCTGTAGATTAGTTGAATTAATTAATTATATTTTTCAGCAAAGAGATGACTAGCTCAGATCTATGTGGTCAGTTGAAATAAGTAACATTATCTGTAATTAAAAACCCTATTGTTGGTCAATATGACTAGTTTTTGTTAATTTAAACTTTGCACTTTATTTAAATATATATAAAAAAATTAATTATTCATTTGGAATAATGCAGTTTTTAGTTGATTATTATTAAATATATGACGATTGGTACCGTTTTTAGAGATAATATATATGTATTATATGTATTATTTTTCAACTAAAATTTAATGTTTACTTAATATTACACAAAAACAGCAAATTAACAAAACTCTAGAAAAAGGTGCAAACATAAAAGTCAAATACGGCTTAAGATTAATTGGCTTTCGAACGCTGACTCTGAGCTTTAAATTTGGCAGGGTACGAGTTCGATTTCTGGTACCTGCAGTTTTAAAAAAATTATTTACGAATATTTAAATAAAAGAATTATTTCCAAGACCACTGTTGATGGGTATTTAGCAATACTGGAAACAGCTGTATGGTCAGCAAAAAATTCAATTAATTAAAATAATATAAAAAGAGTTTTTGTTGTTGTAGTTCACTATTTATCGAAAACCTTTTTATAAAAGCATTTTGAAATTTAAAAATTTATGTGTTGTTTTACCAAAATTCATATGTTTTACTAAAATGAGTAATAAAACCCATTGATATGTGTTTCATTTTTTCTTCAAAGAAAACACTTACATATATATGTATATATGTACATCTGCACACATGAATATTTAATAACATTAAAAACTTTGTTCAAAGTTCAAATGTAAAAAGAAATTATTTTTTGTTCCTCTGAGCTTTGATCCCAAACTTATAATTCAGCTCTCAGACCAATTAAAGTATGAATTTTATTAAGATAAATTTTTAGTTTCCAAAATAACGCATCCATAAGGAATGTCAGTAGCACATCTGTTTCATTTCGATTATTTGAGTTTCTTTAAAATTCTCTAATAATTGCTTACCACACTAAAAATTTCATAAAGTTTTGCAAAGCAAAATTTTATTAAGTGCAATTAAAATAACAAATTTGCGATATGTGATTACACAAAAGCAAAAAAGTTTGCACAGACAGTAGTGCAAAGTGCAACAAAAAGATACAGAAACACAAATGTACAAATGCATTCATCTGTGGCTTCGGGTCGACTTATAGGTATGCAACACTTTCGAACAAAATTGCAAGAGTAATAAAATTTTTAAAACTGGAATTTTCTAAAAGGCATTGAATTGAAAAATCAGCTTAAATATTTACAAATCCTAATGCATTAAAGCCTTTGACCAGAAATAATCATAAGATTTAATCACAGCCCCATGCACACACAAGGATATAAGTACCAACAGTGATTGCAAGGATTAAATATATGAGTAAATAAAATTCATCTATTCTTGTTCAGTACATCACACAATTTTCACATATTTTTACGTAAATGTGTCTTCTTGAACATTATGGTTTTAAGTTTAATATAAAATATTCCAGAAAATATGTTTTTAATAGTACTGATTCTTAGGTGGTTGGGATGTACTTGAATTATCTAAAAAAATTAACACCAAAGTGTGGAAAATTATTGAATTCTTTATATGTATATATAAAGGATAAATGAAAGGCATTTTAGGCTTCAGGCTTCAGCAAACCTGCAGTTCCTGTACACACTAGAGTACTTATGCTCCAACGGTGGTGAGTTCCAACAGGAGGGTTATGCAGACAAGGTGACTTTAATGTCTTGGAATCGCTTTTTCACTGGCTTGAAAGAGATAATAACCAAATGGTTTAACAAGGATAGAAGATAACAAAGGTAAGTAACTCGCCTCTCCCGGCATAATTTTAGAAAGCATCACAATGGGCAATATATGCTTCCGAGTGGAAGTGCTAACAACTGTCAGCACGCGCCTTTTGAACCTAATTTAACCTTATATAAATAGTACTACAGTCAGTCTCTACAGCAAACTTCCTTACTTTTGAAGATTTTAGAATAGGGAGAAATATTTTTTTTCAAGATACTATTTCTTCTTAATTAATTTCAAAGTTTCGTGAATTAAAAGGAATAACAATATGTAGTATTTCTCACTTACCAACAAACTGGAGTAAACAATTAGACTATTTTCAATTATATTATAATTTAATTATAATCTTACCAAAAATACCGAAAATGTAGTCTTTTGCTTTTTATGTTTGAAAGGTCCGCAACCCAAACCCGAGTGCATAAAAACTTCTCTATAGCGAATACAATATAAAATACAATACAATAATATAAAATTACACCGCTTGAGCTATTATGATTTTCATGGTTTCAGATAGTATAGGCAGATGTTGGTTCTGCAGAACTTAGGTACTCTATACACAATTGATATTTGAATTACATGTATAGTGTATAATACAATTAGAATATACAATAATATACGTATGTATATAATATTTTATAAGATCTGCTAAAAATTTGTAATAGGTAATATGAAAAGTATCTATGGTTTTTTGTCGCTAGATGGTGTTGGACCTTTTTTATCTATCAACATCAATCAAATTATGTCAGATGAACAGATATTTGAAAATTGACAATTGAGTTTATAATATAAATATAATATAAATAATATAAACTTTATATATTTAAGAGAAGGTGTTGTGTATTATGTCTCTTGTGATTTGAAAATAAGTAAAATATCTGAAGAAATACAATATGTGATGCTTTATTACCATAAGTAAGGTGAAATTGTTGCAAAAACATACAGAAGTATGGAGCGGTTTACGCTCCTCTAATGCTTACAACTCAATCACTTAAACAAAACAGTAAAGGAAAAACGATAAGAATTGGTCAACAGAAACAGATTTGACCAAAGAGAGTTCCATCTAAAATAAATTCACTGAACTTGGATAAGAAGTTTTTATGCAACCGTGTTGTATCCTGCACCTTAGATCATCACCATTTCTTTCGGTTTCTGCAAAACCAACAATGGACATATTTTTCTTGACATTTTAAAACGTTTTGGTGAATCATTATATTTATCGTCGATATAGAGCATTATTATGCGTTATCTCATCGATTAACACTGTTGAAAATTTTTTTGATTGAAAGTAGCATTTTAACTGTTAATAACTATCTGTATTAATCTGATTTGACACTTTCAGACATTGAATTTATAAATTCC